CTATTAGGTACAGGACGCTCCTACCAAGGACGCAGGATAGCTCACGCTTCTTCAAGGAAGCGTCCCCCCGCCTGAGGGCACATTGTAGTGCACATGAATATCTCAGACTGTGTAAAAGTCATGTTTGACACTCTTAAGGCGTGCTTGTTAGGCACTCTTAACGCAAGCGATGAAGCCTTCACCAGCGGTAAAAACGTAACACTTTGCCAATTGGCTGCCTCTCTGTGGAAGAAAAGCACGAGTGTCTCCAAACACAGACGTCCAACATAAATGGTCAGGCAGGAAGCCTCCAAAACGAGCTCACACATCATGCAGCAGTAAAGATTGTACTGTCCTAACGCAAATTCCAATGGTACAGCCAGGCACACCTGCCCCGAACGTTGCAACCTCACAATTCCCTGCCGCGACGCGATGATAAGACTTCCACACCTTCGCGTGTATACATACGCATAAAAAGACTAGTCGGACTAGTTTGCCAGATTTGGACCACCACGCATTTGGAGGCCAATGCAATTAGAACCGGAATGAAATGGAATCCATTGCTACTAGCTTGAGGTCATCGCTCTGAGGTTGGAAGCCATTGCTATTAGGTCGGAGGCCATCGCAATTAGAATCCCCAAGTCAAATCTTTGGAGGCCATCACTGGAGGCGTATTTGCCTTCATCTTCCAACATCCCAAATCTCAACAGCTCAATCTCAAAGGCCCGGCGACGTTTCTGTTTGGTTCGACGTTTCTCGCCATGTTTGAGGTAAGAGGCCATCGCTCTTAGGTTGGAACGAGTTAGCTTTGGGATGCTCATGAGGTGGAAGAACTCCTGATGTGTTTCCTTATGTTTCTCATGAGGTGATGGTACAAGTCTGGTCCCTGGTGAAACATCAAACATTTATCATTTCTCTATGCAAGCCTCAGAGCCTTGCCACAAATCCGGCATTGGCTTCCAACATCCATGCAAGGTTGATCAAAACTTCGAGGCTTGCATAGGCGTGTTCAAACAGACTTGTAACACTACTAGCGATGGCCTCCAACCCTCGAGTCCATTTTTTGGTACATCGCTGGAGGCGCATCTGTCTTCTTTCCATCCTTCGCTCATGACCTGAGGAAGCGGACGACACACCCATCACCTCTAAGGAGATGAATGACTACATCACCGCTTATCGTCATCACAGGACCGAGCGAATCCCGTCGCAGTCGTCTTCTTTCGGACGCGTGGCCTATTTGGGGCGGGGACGAAGGTTGACCCAACTGGGGCCGTGGATCGATCTCACAAGTCTTCACGCTTCACGACTCGGTCGCGTGCCGACTTGGCCAGGAGCCCGTTCGTCGCGTCCGATCGCTCCGTTCGTAGCGAAGGATTACTAGCTTCTTGCTCCTAGCAGGAAGGCCAGGAGGCTCTAGTAGCTTCTTGTTACTAGTAGGGATGCCAG